AGTTTACACGACTATGAAGTACAGCATACCTTATTCAAGTACCAAATTACTTATCTTTACAATGTTTCCTAGTTACTTTGAGGATTGTTCAGAATATGTCAACAGCTTACCAATATCAAGATCACGTTGCTGACATACTGATTCAGGTCCTCCCACGGGTTAAACGATTTCGTTCTCTGCATCTGTTGATAATTTCAATGCAGTTCCATTTTGTTTTATTCCTCGAAAGGCAAGTTTTCTCAAGTATTTCTGCCTGTCACCAAGGCTCTGAAAAATCAGATCATGCGGTACCATATATTGCATGCGTAGCACATCTAGCACCCAGAGACTAAGAGTTTCAGTTTGCAAAGGTGCATCATACAGAAACCCTGCATTATCCACATTCCATATATTGCATGCGTAGCACATCTAGCACCCAGAGACTAAGAGTTTCAGTTTGCAAAGGTGCATCATACAGAAACCCTGCATTATCTACATTCCATGTATTGCATGCGTAGCATATCTAGCACCCAGAGACTAAGAGTTTCAGTTTGCAAAGGTGCATCATACAGAAACCCTGCATTATCCACATTCCATATATTGCATGCGTAGCACGTCTAGCACCCAGAGACTAAGAGTTTCAGTTTGCAAAGGTGCATCATACAGAAACCCTGCATTATCCACATTCCAAATATTGCATGCGTAGCACATCTAGCACCTAGAGACTCAGAGTTCCAGTTTGCAATGGTGCATCATACAGAAACTTTGCATTATCTACATTCCAAATATTGCATGCGTAGCACATCTAGCACCCAGAGACTCAGTTTCAGTTTGTAAAGGTGCATCAAACAGAAACCCTGCATTATCCACATTCCATATATTGCATGCGTAGCACTTCTAGCACCCAGAGACTAAGAGTTTCAGTTTGCAAAGGTGCATCATACAGAAACCCTGCATTATCCACATTCCATATATTGCATGCGTAGCACATCTAGCACCCAGAGACTAAGAGTTTCAGTTTGCAAAGGTGCATCATACAGAAACCCTGCATTATCCACATTCCAAATATTGCATGCGTAGCACATCTAGCACCCAGAGACTCAGTTTCAGTTTGTAAAGGTGCATCAAACAGAAACCCTGCATTATCCACATTCCATATATTGCATGCGTAGCACTTCTAGCACCCAGAGACTAAGAGTTTCAGTTTGCAAAGGTGCATCATACAGAAACCCTGCATTATCCACATTCCATATATTGCATGAGTAGCCCATTTAGGTATAAAACAATAGCAATTAGCTCTGGCAGAGTCATTTTCACATTTGTCAATGAAAAGTTCACATATCTAATCAGTGAGGTCTCCCTATGACACCCGTTATGAACTCTTCACCAAGATGACCGAGGGAAAGTTAATGAGGAAAACGGGATAAGGACAATTTGTTCATGTTTATTACGTAACTTACAGAAGCTTTAGTCTTAGGGGGATTCGTTTCACAACGTGTGAGGTACAATCGAGCCTGCTTTTTCCATGAAGAATTCATGACTCTTGCTCAAATGTTGTTTGATCAGGATTGTAACATTCATAAAGTTTTAGGGTAGACATGTGGAAAGAAAAGCGCCAGAGCCCTTTCCATATTCATGAGAAATCTGTCAAAAACAGAGTCGACTGTATCATGAGCATATGCACAAGTCAAAATAAGGAATTGCATCTGACATCAGGCGTCTAATTTGGAAATGTCCGCCAAATATCTACCATAAAACGTTTTGCCAACTTTACCGAGACCTTGAATGCTTTAACCTTGATCAAACATCTTTCGAGGAAGAGTCGTTTGACGCTCTTTGAAATGTTGGTAGAAAGGTTATGCTCGATTGTACGTGATGAGTTGCGAAATGTAAACACCAAAGGCTGGAGCTGCTGGAATATTGCTCGACATAACAGAAAAGTTGACAATTGGAAAGTTGATGTCATCCCTTCATCCCTACATTCTTGTGGAGATTATTTTGAATCTTAATGCATAGATCTAAATACTCGTCTCCTTTGTTTCTCGTTCAGGTGGGTAAATCAGTGGTAGGGAATTGGCTATTTCATTGTTATTGAACGATATTAGATCATCGACATACCTGAAGCTGAAGTTAAACTTCTTGGCCGAATAACTTTGTTTTAACTTTGCCAATCCGAGCAGAACTGTTATGAATGAGGAAGTCTAGCTTTTCACATATTGTTTCCTCAGTAATCATCAGGTGGCATTTGCTTTCATTTTTGACAAATTGTCCTGAACGTTTGACGATAGATCACTGTATCTAAGGTCACTACTTTTAGTGACAAAAGCCCAATGGATCAAGAAATGAAGTATTTCCATAAGTTCATCATCTTGGATGGTGACGTGCAAAGTTGAAAAACGAAATATTTCGTCCGAATTAAACTTGTTTCTTTTCTGAGATTGTAAGAAACAGTCCTTTTTTTGAGAATCCACATGGTATTAATTCCACATTGACAAAATATACCAAAGGGTTGATCCTGTTTGTCCATGTAAGGCGACACTTTTCTATTCCTTTAAGAATTAAAAGACCTCATCTAAACTTTGAAACCCCATAGGCAGGATTCATCATGCAGTGCGGACATTTATTTTAGGAAGGTCACCAACATGTCAGACATATGACCGCATTATGTTTTATTAGTACACACGTTGATAAAAAGAGTTCAACACCCCCCTCAACGAGATGTCTTGAGCCTTGGGGAACTGTGGTTTTAAAATTCCAGTCATACATGATACGATCAATAACATCATGACTGCCTGTCTATAGCTTCTGCATTTTTAATACCGAGTGACCACGGGTGTCAAGCATTAGCCTCTGTCCATTCCGTTGGCAGCATGCGGCCTTCGAAGAACCAGACCAGTTGGCACCAGGGAGGGGGAGGGTGATAGGCGACGTAGAGTGGGGGTACCGACGTACCCCAAGGGCACTTCACACTGAGCAGAAGTCGGACTGAGGGGAAGGGCTTTGATATTTCTACGCCAATATTTTGCAGCAGTGTAGAAATGTGTTTCAGTGCACCAAGGTGAAAATTCAATGAAACGATACTTGAATACATGAAAATAGTGCTTTTTTGTAATGGGTATGAACGTGTTTTAGTACATTGGATGTGTATATGACTTATTTAAGAAATAAAAATCAAATGTTTAATCATGTTAAATCAAACATTGTAATCAGTCTATTTCTTTCTGAAAACTAGACATCAGAGGTTCTGATCGGATTGGCAAAATCCAACCAAGGGAATTGGCCAAGATGTTTGACATCAGTTTCATGTCTATCGATGATCTGATATCAGTCAATAATGGCCAAGCCAACAGTCAATTCCTTTTCACTGATTTATCCTCCTGAGCTAGAAGTATAAGTGACCAGTGAAACCGCCTCATCTGTTTATATTTACATCTATGCATTAAGATTCAGATTGACAAAACACTGTCCACAAAACTGTATGTCAAAAGGAGTGATTACAACTTTCACCTTTCCCTATGGTTTTGCATTTGAAGTACAATCTAGCATGATCCTCTTTCTACTAACATTTCAAAGAGCGTCATATGACTCTTGCTCAGAAGATGTTTGTTAAATGTTACAACTTTCAAGGCCCCAGTAAAGCTTTGAAAAAGCATAATAGTCGTTCCACGAAGATATCAAAGAGCGTCATATGACTCTTGCTCAGAAGATGTTAAATGTTACAACTTTCAAGGCCCCAATAAAACTTTGAAAAAGCATTATGGTCTTTCCACGGAGATATCAAAGAGCGTCATGGGGCTCTTGTTCAAAATATTCAAGGCCTCTTTTTTTCAAGTTTTCTAAAGGTTTTATTGAAGACATGTGGCAGATACGTATTATTGTATTATATAGTTATGTAAATATTAGTTTTAAGTCATTTAAGCGTTGCATTGATATTTGTATAATGACAATTGCTTTAAGAATTGCAGGTATATTATTTCCGATTTTAACTAATGAATGTATTTTTTCTATCTACAGGTTTGGTCATTTTGATACAGACTATAATTATAAGGACACAGAAGATTTCAAAGTTGGGTCTATCAATAGCTCTATAGTTAGTTTCATTCTAATATAATTAAGGGTAGATAGGTAGGGCTACTACATTATTACGTGGCTTGATTTAATCAACATCAATTGGATCATTCAAATTCTTGCCCTCTTTCTAAATTCAAATCTGCACTTCACATTCACCATTTGCACCACCAGGATTGTAGTACCATGGAGTCATAAACAGATGCAAATACCTCACATATTTTGTCTCAACACTAAAATCGGTTACAGACACGTGGAGGATATTTCCACATTTGACGCTTCACTGCTCTGCCTGTACAAGACTCGATGCCGGTATGATACAACTTTGATATTCCCTATCTTACTCACCCCCTACAGAAATTAATGGAAGTAGTCGTTACCCAAAGCGTAAAAGTAAGTATATATCCAACATCTATGTATATAACAAAAACATGCTCATTTTACACCAATGCAACAGTCAACCAAATTGATGTTCGCTGAGGTCAACCTGAGAGAGGTTCGCGTGGTTACAGTGAGTCGTTGTACCCTGATCGTGATGTTCCCTCGAGTCAACCTGAGAGAGGTTCGCGTGGTTACAGTGAGTCGTTGTACCCTGATCGTGATGCTCGCTAGAGTCAACCTAAGTGATGTTCGCGTGGTTACAGTGAGTCGTTGTACCCTGATCGTGATGTTCGCTAGAGTCAACCTAAGTGATGTTCGCGTGGTTACAGTGAGTCGTCGTAACCTGATCGTGATGTTCGCTAGAGTCAACCTAAGTGATGTTCGCGTGGTTACAGTGAGTCGTTGTACCCTGATTGTGATGTTCGCTAGAGTCAACCTAAGTGATGTTCGCGTGGTTACAGTGAGTCATAGTACCCTGATCGTGATGTTCACTAGAGTCAACCTTAGTGGGATTCACGGGGTTACAGTGAGTCATAGTACCCTGATCGCGGTGTTCGCTAGTGTCAATCTAAATGACGTTCGCCGGGTTACAGTGAGTCGTCATACCCTGATCGTGATGTTCGCCAGTGTCAACCTAAGTGAAATTCGCGTGGTTACAGTGAGTAGTCATACCCTGATCATGATGTTCACTAGGGTCAACCTATAGATGTTCGCGTGGTTACAGTGAGTCATCATTCCCTAATCGCGATCTTTGCTAGGGTCATCCTAAGAGAGGTTTGCGTGGTTACCGTGAGTCGTGGTATTCTGATCGTGATGTTCGCTAGTGTCAACCTGAGAGAGGTTCGCGTGGTTACAGTGAGTTGTCGTACCCTGATCGTGATGTTCGCTAGTGTCAACCTGAGTGAGATTCGCGTGGTTACAGTGAGTCGTTGTACCCTGATCGTGATGTTCGCTGGTGTCACTCTAAGAGAGGTTGTAATTCGCTAGAGTCAACCTAAGAGAGGTTCGCGTGGTTACAGTGAGTCGTCGTACCCTGATCGTGATGTTCGCTGGTGTCACTCTAAGAGAGGTTGTAATTCGCTAGAGTCAACCTGAGAGAGGTTCGCGTGGTTTCAGTGAGTCGTCGTACCCTGATCGTTCTGGTTGCAAGAGTCAATCGACGTGGGCTTTACGTGGTCACGGTGATTCCTGATGCTGCTCGTGTACTTTCATATCTAGTTCAGACTCTTATTTTAGGCCACGGCTAAGTGGTTTGAATAGAGACTGCTGAGGAGAATTACAATCAATCCTAACTTCATCAAGTCAAAGTCGTCTGGTTCAAATTTATCTATTTTCTGCGTATATTGCACAAATCAATTTCAGGAAATCCCGATTATGGCATTGCATTAAGTTCTGTAGTGGTGTATTGTGTGTGGTGTGGTGTGGTGTGGTGTGATGTGATGTGGTGTGGTGTGGTGTGGTGTGGTGTTGTGTTGTGTTGTGTTGTGTGGTGTGGTGTGGTACGGTGTGGTGTGGTGTGGTGTGGTGTGGTGTGGTGTGATCCTCTATGTACAGTCCTTTCCACCAACATGTTCTTATTTTAATGTGGAGTAGCCAAGTGATTAAAGCACATGACATTCAAGATCGTCCATTTTAATTTATCCATTTTTGCGTATATTGTACAAATCAATTTAAAGAATTGCGGTGCGGTGTCCTTTCCACCATCATTTTCTTATCTTAAAGTTGAGTAGCCTCGTGTTTAAAGCATCCGGCGGTGACGCCGTGCTAGAATGAACCTTCTCAAAGGGCGACAAGCTCTGATGATGAAGACCAGCGGTTGGTTCCGATTTGTCTGGCTGAGTGAGTGAGTGAGTGAGTTGGGTTTTAACGCCGCTTTTAACAGTATTCCAGTTATATCACGGCGCGTCAGCTTAATGTGGGAGGAAAGACCGAAATGATGCAGGTCTCAGACGTTTACCACTTCGGTGAAACCCACGAGCTCGGGTATGGTGCTGACAACCTAGAAACATAATCAGGGGGACCGGGATTCGAACCCACGATTCGTCTGGGAAGACGCTGAACTGTCTGGCGTGGCTACGTGCTAGTTACGATGTGTTGTGGAACGTATGTCGCTGTCTAGAACGTGTAGCCACTTCAGACCTGCAACTGAGAGGATGAAGTGTTGCTTTGTTAACCTTAAGAGTTAGTGAGTTGGGTTTAACGCCGCTTTGAACAGTATTATGGTTATATCATGGCGTATCAGCTTCATGTGGGAGGAAACACTTTGGTGACCACCATGGGCAGGTGCTGACAGACCTAGGCACACAATCGGGGTAAACCGGAATTCGAACCAACGATCATATGTTTCTGGCTTGCCAAAGGGACTCAGTTCTGCAAAGCGAATAGCAACCCGTGCCCAGTTAACGTTAAAATGTTGTGCAACGTCGACAGCAGGTCTCAGACGCTCAAACAAAAAACAAACTAACAAACACTCTTCATCCAATTTCAAACGTATTCAAAAACATTTCCCTGAAAAGTCATCATTAGTTCGAATCGAGCCTGAATTTTGAGCGTGTTATCCACCACAGAGCTTTGCAAGTGTATACTTAATATTCAGGTTAGTCAAGGCATGGGGGGCACGGGTGGCCCAGTCGTCTTAGGCAATTCGCTGTGCAGAGTTGCGTCCCTTGGGCACGCCAGAAACCTATGATTGTGGGTTCGAATCCCGGTTCGCCCCGATTATGTTTCTAGGTTTGTCAGCACCATACCCGTGCTCGTGGGTTTCATCGAAGTGGTAAACGTCTGAGAGCTGCATCACTTCGGGCTTTCCTCCCTCATTAAGCTGACACGCCGTGATATAACTGGAATACTGTTAACAGCGTCGTTAAACATAACTCACTCACTCACTCACTCACTTTAATGTTTTCTGTGCAATTCCGGTCACAAGAACAAGGAGCCAAGATCACTGGACGATTGTGAAGATCTACTTTTTCTAAATAAATCGAGATTGCCACTACCAATATTGCATTGTTTTGTGAGGAATTCAGGTTATTGTTCAAGCTGGTCCAGTGGCACGTGTACTTTGACACGATTGTTACTCCTGAACGAATATTAACTAAATCTTTTTAACTTTATGTTTTACTAAAAACCTGGCCATTTGGTTTGAAGTCAAAAAAGGAAACGATACTAATACAGCTTATAAATTATGGTTAATACAGTCCTCTGGGATTTGGGGTAGTGCAGTTTTCTTGTTTTTAAGATATACTTAAGCAGTTCTACTCGATAATTCTGATGAAGAGTTTTGATGTTAGCGTTTAAAATCCAATTTACACCTGTATGGTTGGCAGTTTCCTTCATTTTCAAAGAAATGACCTTTTCCGCAATTAACGACTCGGAGTAGTGTTCATAAATATTCAGCGACCTAACTTCATTTTATCTTCAAGGAAAGTGTTAAAATGTATCGTGCAACTGTCATGGTACAATATTGCTGAAATGGCAAATAAATAAGCTATTTTTCTAGAATTTTCAACAACGATTTTTCAACGTTTGTTCATCAAAGGCAATTTGACGGTTTTTTTGTGAAAGTATTTTTGTCGACTCTCACCAGAGAGCAAAAGCTCGCTCACCCTTCTTCGATATGAGGATATTAGTGACACTTGTTTATTCATAGATTTCCCACGAGCAGCGCCATTTAAATGAATTGAATTAAAATTAGATTTGTTAATCTCCCGAGTCCTAATTTCTACGAGTGCGGTGTCTTGGCCGTTCCCCTAGCGACCATGTAGCGACATTCACGACTCGATTACCTCCCCTTACTTAATGTCTCCAGTTCTCCGAGTCACGTGAATGGCGCGTAATTGGGTTACCGTGAAAGTGACATGTTGCGAATTTGTCAGGTTGCTGTCACATGATCAGAGACTTCTTAGCGAGGCTGACGTGATGCTATCATTGGCCTTTTTTCCATCTCCAGTGACCTCATACCCCAAAGATTTCAGCCGTGCTGGTACTTCCGTATAATAATGAAATAAGACTGGTCATATTGCGTAAGTGAATTAAATCACGTTGGGTGTCTTTTTCGGTATCTTGCGAGTAAGAAACAAGCTAATGATTATGAATCTTCTTGTAAAGACGCGTGGCTCTTCAGCTTTTGATTTCAGGAAGTGGTTTTGTTCCCTGGCTGATGTGTGACAAAAAAACCCTTTACGATTCACAAACTGTTACAATTTGTGTACAGGTGAAGCACCTATCCTCAAATGTGTACCTGCACACACGCACGCACACACACACGCGCGCACACGCACACGCACGCACGCCACACACACGCACATACACGCACGCACATATATCCCAACGCCCCAATACATAACCCACAAAAATCTGTCACCGGGAAGGCACTCCCATTGAACATCCGGATTAGATTTGGTCTTGGTAGGCAACCCCATTGAACATCCGGATTAGATTTGGTCTTGGTAGGCAACCCCAGTGAAGATCCGGATTAGATTTGGTCTTGGTAGGCAACCCCAGTGAAGATTCGGATTAGATTTGGTCTTGGTAGCCAACCCCATTGAACATCCGGATTAGATTTGGTCTTGGTAGGCAACCCCATTGAACATCCGGATTAGATTTGGTCTTGGTAGGCAACCCAAATGAAGATCCGGATTAGATTTGGTCTTGGTAGCCAACCCCAGTGAAGATCCGGATTAGATTTGGTCTTGGTAGCCAACCCCAGTGAAGATCCGGATTAGATTTGGTCTTGGTAGCCAACCCCAGTGAAGATCCGGATTAGATTTGGTCTTGGTAGGCAACCCCAGTGAAGATTCGGATTAGATTTGGTCTTGGTAGCCAACCCCATTGAACATCCGGATTAGATTTGGTCTTGGTAGGCAACCCCAGTGAAGATCCGGATTAGATTTGGTCTTGGTAGGCAACCCCAGTGAAGATCCGGATTAGATTTTGTCTTCAGCAACCAATGGTTGTCTAAGAGGCCACTAACGGGACAGAATAGCCCATTCGTATCCAAATTTCGAAGGCCAATATCCGTCACAGCAATAAGCATTAACAGGCGCCTTAGAGTTAATATGTTTTTCACTGTCGCAGCAATCTAGAACTAAAAGTGAGGAAGAGGAAAACAAGTGGTTGATATTGTGAGCATACATTCTAACAACAGGGAAACACCTACCTTCATATCAAACACATCCATCCATAACTAATTAAACGCTGTCAAAACTAAAAAGTAACCAAGTGTTATTCCAAGTTAATAGGAATTAATACAATTCTATTTCTAAGGTTAATATGTCGATCGTATCCTTCATCCTTCTCCTAAAAGGGAATCTTATCTGATGCCTGAAGCAGTTCTTGGTCCAGCCGAAACCGATCTTGTAATCTTTATTTGCAATATTAGAATATTGAAATGCTGAATCTATTTCCATCGGAACATTCGTCATACATTGCTTATATTTCTTGTAATATTCACATCCCAAAGCACTGAACGATAATCCCCTATTATTTTCAAAATGAATCATATTCAATTTCTTTCCACAAAACTTCTATTTCTGAATTTAACGACATTTACAAGACAGCCGGTCGTCGAATAATGCCGTATTAATGGATGCA